ATCACCTTTTTTATACACAAAAATCTAGGCCTGATGTCTCTCTAACATGCAAATTCTGCCCACAGCTTGCCCCCTCCAATGCCTCCCTAATGCAGAAAATTTGCATTATTTAATAAAGAGTTTGTATTCTTAAGTGCTAAATCATATGCACACCAACCCATAACAACGGATCCAAATCCGACTGTGTTCTAATCTGACTTTAGTAGAAAGCATTCAGAGTGGTTTCTTCATGGCTCACATTTTCATCCTAGCATTCAACTTCCGCACCTGTCTGCCAAGCTAGCTAAGCCGCTAAGGTTGCTGGTATTCATTATTTTCTAAACTGTCTGTGAAAATGCAGGTGAGTGTGTGTTCATTGGTTAACTGACTTCTCTTAAAAGCCCACAGCAGATTCACCTACTTTCACTAAAGCATGAGATGAAAACTATATGGCACAGAATCATATAATAAGAGGCTGCTCTTCTGCCATAAAGTCCTGTAAGAAGCCTGAAGAACCTAGCTACACTCGACTTGATGAAACTCAGTTTGAAGGGGACATGTCAGATGCATTACCTGCTGAAGATTCCATGCAGCGCTGTAGGCTGCCATTGACCAGATCCTAGACATGGTGTTAGTTATAGGGAAGCAGGTCCCCTCTGCAGCCTCCAGCAGAGCATGGAAGTCTAAGCTGTCACAGGTAACCTCATACCAGAGGGTATGGGTACCACACCACTATGCACTGGATGGTTTGATCTATCTAAAGAAATATCTGCTCTATAAACACTCCATATATTTATTCAATTCAAAACCAAATAAGGGCTTATTAAACCACCCCCCCCCCACCACCTCCATAGCCATGTCTTCACGGTCCACATTAAAGTATGGTCACTAGAATTGGTCTGATATGTTTGCAATAATAATAATATAGACCAGGGCCGTAACTACAGATCTCAGGGCACCATAGCAAAAATGTGATGGGGGGCCCCCTGGTGATCTCTCTTTGAGCTGTAAGGATGCCAAAATCCCAACATTCCTCTTGTGCATCCAAAGTCATCTTTACACTGTACACTGTACTGTGACTTCACAGTCAACTGCCACTACTCCAACCCTTAATGATATAGTATTGTATTATCTTCACATGCTCTATGTTTAATTTGCCTACAAAACCTAGTGGGGCCCCCTTCCACCCCCAGACCCCATAGCAGCTGCCTGGGTTGCTATGGCTATAGTTACGCCACTGATATAGACAGCTTGGTTGAAAATTACCAATTTCCTACAAAAACATTTAGACTGCCAGACTCCTAAAATACAATGCCAATGCTATTCAGATCAGTCATGTCTTATGTACAACAATGACAAGCCATAATGAAGAACCTATTGCACAGAAGCTTGCAATCGTTCAAGTGTATTCAACAAGAAATAGAGCAAACTGCCACAACCTGACTGAAATCTGTTGTTGGCTGTTATTGGCACATCACTGAAACATCCATTTATATAATCCACTGACAATAAACTACACTATTGAGAGTCCATTTAACACTATCAGGTCTGTAGGGTAAGCCAGAGAGCAATTTGCTAAATTCTGCAAACCTTAGCAACCAATCAGAATGAATTGCTTGTTCATCTAGCTTCAGCAGATTGTGATCCGATTGGTAGCTGTCGGTTGCCATACTTTGCGCATATTATTGCTCAGTGCTTGACTTATTAATTAGGCCCATATGTCCCTGCTGGGTGTGTTGAGCAAAACAACAGCACAGAATCCGGTCCATTTGATGCAAGAAATTAGGGCTGCAACAACTAATCGACATAATCGATTATAATCGATTATTGAAAAAGTTGTCAACTTTTTCAATAATCGATGAATCGGCTTCCGATCAGTTGGCCCTGTTCACAGCTCCACACGCTGTGCGCTGCACCTCCTCCCCACCTCACGCATGTACTACACTGGCTAATTGAAATACTATTCCGTAATGGTTTTGGTGCACACTACAGCTAGATAGCACTTTACATGTAAATATTTTTATACCTGGTTGTAAAAGCCAAAAACAAAACAAAAACACAACTCAATGTTGTTTTAAAAATATTGGATACTGCAAGCAAAATAACAATAAAAACCTATAAAACACCAAATCAGAAATTGTACGCTTTACAAAGTAAGTTTGCAGAAGGTTTTAGTAAGTAGTTAAAGAGGCCTTAAAACTTTACAATGCAGCGAGCGAAGGTCACAGACGGGTTTTGAAAACAACAAATCTTAGAGAAAACTGCAGAATCTAAGGCAGAAAAAAATGATAGCAATAAAGGCTATGTCTGCTAGCGATAATATATCCAACAGCAGCATGTTATAGGGTTAAATAGAACCTTTGATGAGGATCGATATAGTCAGTATATTCGGATAAGATATGTTCGATGTCCTTAAATAAACAGCACTCCCAGCGTAACGGGAGCATTATGGTAATGAGGAACAGTGATTTCAACAGCCAGCGCTTATTTGTTATCTCCATATACAGTGATTGCAGTAGCATATTTCTTGCTACAGTCACTAAGTCAACACAATAAAACAATGACACTTCACTTGGACCATAAACAATACAGTCCTGCGAGTAGGGAAAGAATGCAGAGGGTTATCCTGCCAGATAAGCTCAGTAATGAATTACATTGCCATATACTCACAATACCTACTAAATAAATGATCTGCAAGGGTTGATGGAGCAGATTTTATGCCAAAACTAACATTTATTGCTAGAACTTTGCAGTATATTAGACAGCATTATATCATGTAATAAAAATATTGGAAAATAATCAATGTCCTCACTGAAAATAGCAATATATAAACAATGGGATCAAGTCCAATTCAAACCTGCACACAATAAATACGTCCAGCAATAAATAAAACAGCATGCTGTAAAGAAATGATGTAATATAAACGATGATGATTAATATTTTCTCATCTGTAGGGTGTCTTTGTTTCAGCTTAGTACAACACAAGTGAGGCTTTTAACACAAAAGATATGTCATAAATGACTAGTATAATAAGAGCATATCAACCAAGAGTATGGAGGAAATGTGGAATACACATAACCTAACATGCCTTATATTATACGTCATCAGCTTTATTTATTTAAACCTGACAAAGTGCCAAAGAACAGCTACCTGGGGCAATTACAATTCGCTCTTCAGAGTGGTCAGAACGCTAGAACAAGATTTCTGATTGGTCGTTCCAGGTTGCTACAATATACACAATTGATTTTAGCTTTAGTAAATCAGCCCAAATGAATGACATTACCAACATCAGCATCAGACCAAGAGCATGGATAACCGACCATCTCCATCGCAATGCGTTCATCAGATAACTGACCTTTTTTTTTGTAAGATGAACTCTTTTAAATAATAAACCGTTTCCTCTGGTCTCTTCTAATTAAATCCAGAGGAAGCCCACGTGAATTCACAGCTATGTAAAGCCATTCAATCCATTTACCTGACAACACACAGTGCTGGCATCTCAAACATTTCAACAACCTGTCAAGCAGCCCTTCAAAGGGGGGAAAACGTGCGCACTTTACAAGAAGTTTTTCAGATGGACAAAAATTATGAGGTGATAAGAAAATGTCCCCAGAGCAGCTGGCCGGGCATCTCTGACCAATTCCCCTTCAAATCACCCAAGTTAGCAAACACATTCTGAAGCACCCATACACCATATGTGAAAAGAGGAATGCATATTTACAAATAGACATCATGTTTAATAGTTAACATGTAACAGTGTTCTAAAAAAAAAATTGGCACTCGATGATAATAAACTGGCTGACTGCTCTGCTGTAAAATTTCCAAAAAGTCAAATCAATAGCACAAGTCAAGTTTTTTAAAGTGTAGCAATAAGAGGTCTGCTAAACACGTTAAAAGACTCGGACTGCACCATTGACTGAACGATTAGAAAGACATTAGACGCACTGATGAATGAGTGTATTTTAGCAATTACTGAGTTCATTTACAGCAGCCTAAACCATGATGAGCAAAATATAAAATGCCTTGCAGCTCAGACGGGAAAAGTCACACTATGTTTAAAAACCCGATAGTCTCCTATGTGCAAAGACCTGATAGTCACCCTATGTGCAAATACCGGATACCCCCACTATGTGCAAAGACATGATAGCCCCCTATGTACAAAGACCTGATAGTCCCCTATGTGCAAAGACCTGATAGCCCCCTATGTACAAAGACCTGATAGTCCCCTATGTGCAAAGACCTGATAGCCCCCTATGTACAAAGACCTGATAGTCCCCTATGTGCAAAGACCTGATAGCCCCCTATGTACAAAGACCTGATAGTCCCCTATGTGCAAAGACCTGATAGCCCCCTATGTACAAAGACCTGATAGTCCCCTATGTGCAAAGACCTGATAGCCCCCTATGTACAAAGACCTGATAGTCCCCTATGTGCAAAGACCTGATAGCCCCCTATGTACAAAGACCTGATAGTCCCCTATGTGCAAAGACCTGATAGCCCCCTATGTACAAAGACCTGATAGTCCCCTATGTGCAAAGACCTGATAGCCCCCTATGTACAAAGACCTGATAGTCCCCTATGTGCAAAGACCTGATAGCCCCCTTTTGTGCAAAGATCTGACAGCCCCCCCCCCTAAGTGCAAAGCCCTGATAGCCACCCTATGTACAAAGACCTTATAGCCCCCCAATGCACAAAGACCAGGCTGCTGCCCAGGTTAAAGCAATTGACGGGCTGTCTTGTGATGGCATCTGGAAAACTTAGCCCATCGCTTTGAATAGCTCTAAGCTGCCACCAAGGCGAACATCACATGAATATGAGAAGGAAAGGGAAGACAATCACTGACAGCTTGTAAATAGACAACACAGAGGTAACTGAAACTCCTGGAAGTGTGCTGGGCACCGGCGATGCCAAGGTGGATGTCCGGTCTGCCACAGGGGCACTGCCGGGGATGGTCGGGGGGATCTGACACCTAACAAAGGTAAAATCAGGACAGAAAGGCAGATGAGAAGGACAATTCCTACCATTGCTGATCCAGGTCCCAGTCACGGAAAAAGTCGAATAGATCCATAGCAGCGGAGGCTCGGGGCAGCGCTGTGTCCTGCAGGAGGTGGGCAGGCACAGCCGGTGCCAGGGATCGCACAGTGCCAGTGTCCGCCCCGGTGAAGCTCTACACTGGGAGAATGTTGCGAGCTCCGGCTGCCTGGCTGGCTGGAGGAGGCAGAAGCAGCAGCTCAGCAGCATCACAGTGCGAGAGAGAGACGGAGCGAGCCAGAGACATGGGGGGGAGGAGCCAAGGAAGCCACAAGCCACGACATGGAGCCAGCCAGTTATCAGGGCTGGAATCTGCTCCACCTATGTCACCGGCCTGGGGCGGAGGGCTGAGGAAGGCTGAGCCGGAGTGTCCGCAGCGTGCCGCTCACACACAGCCTGCCTGGATCCCCATACAGTGCTGGAGAGGATTCATTGTGCTGGGAGGCTTCCTGATGTGACACACATCAATGTACCAATTCTTCTGTATATCATCAGGCTCCATTCACAGAGAACCCTGAACGTAGCCAGGCCATTTACAGACTTTTTTGTTTTAGGGTGCGTTTGTATGTGCGTTCTTTGAGTTCGTTCGTCTTGTTCGTTTTTATGTGTTACTTGTAGTACAGGAGCAGAATCGTGCGGTTTTGGCTCCATAGACTTTTAAACTGGAGCATTTGACAAACATGCTTTTCAGTTTTTGTTCGCAACTCGCCGTTAGCATTTTTAGGCTCCATTCACAGAACCTTGAGCATAGCCAGGCGTTTTACATGCTTTTTTTGGTGCGTTAGTATTTTTAGGCTCCATCCACAGAACCTTGAGCATAGCCAGGTGTTTTACATGCTTTTTTTGGTGTGTTTGTATGTGCGTTCTTTGAGCATTTGTATGCGTTACTTGTCGTACGGGAGCAGAATCGTGCGTTTCTGGCTCCATAGACTTTTAAATGGGAGCGTTTGCAAAACATGCACTTTTCAGGTTTTGTTCACAACTCAGCGTTAGCGTTTTTATGATCCGTTCAAACTAGGGCGTAGTGGGAACACACGTCATGGGAATGCACGCTCCTGCACGTTTGCAGAACTTTGTTTCCTGCTTTTGGCGCGCATCTCCAGTGATCCCCATTGGGTCCATGGACATGTGTCAATCATAGTAAAGGAGTACATGTCACAAATTTGGCGACATGCGTTCAGCAAACCTGCGGGGGAAAAAACGTGTTTGCTGGACGTGCGTCAACCATAGAAAAGCAGTATATGTCACCAATTTGGCGATTCGGCGAACCTGCGGGAGGAAAAAACTTGTTTGCTCAGCTGCGTTTGGGTGCCACTACCTAGTAATGGCAACGGAAATGCGTTCCATGTTTCTGCACATATCATGAACGTGCATCGAAGCACACACATTTATGCACCCTTGGCGCACAATAACGATACGCCCTGTGTGAACGGAAACTTAGGCTTTTAATGGCCCCGTTCACAAATAGGCGTTTGTAGCTTGAAGCTACAAAACACTCAGTACAAGGAATCCCATTGTGTTCTACGGCCTCTGTTCACACCCGTGTGTTCTGTCGCTTGTAGCAAAACGCATGGCGCTCGAAAAAAGTACATGAGCTTCTTTTGTCCCCATTCACACCCTGACATTGTGTGCCAAAGCGAGCACTTTAAAGCGCATTCACGCAACACGTTCAAAACTGGCTTTGCACAGGTAATGGC